GCAGGATGGTAATTGAAAACAGGAGGTTGATTAAATACTTTACACCCTACAAAGCAACAAGAGAAGGTAAATCACATATACTCAAGATAAATAGTATTTAAAAACTGGCATAAAAATAATTCCTAAATTAGTTTCCAGGAGGTGTTTGGCCTGCTGCTAGGAATTTTGAACAAATTTGAATTATATAACTATGTTCAAGCAGAGCACTACTACATGTTCCTATGTTGTTCCCCTCCCGGTCCTCCAAGCTCTCTGAAACATCATGATTCAGGTAGCTGCAGCCTAGACTGGAGTGTGTGTCCTAGACAGAAGAATAGACAACACTCCCACAGAATTCAATTCAGTCAGAAATTAAAGGAAGAAAATATAATTACAGGCTAGCTACTATGTTCTAATGGAAACCAGCTCTTGTCAAACAAATATGATTATATTCTCTGATCTAATTATGATTTTAGAAACATAAAAGTTCAATAGACGCAAATCAGGATTTTCCTAAACAACTAATTTGTTACCACAATTTTCTGATTATATAATAGAGTTAAACAATGGTAGTAATGTACACATTAAGTGTATTAAAAACTGGCAATCTGATTGACCTGAAAAAGTAGTTCTTACTGTTATAATATTAGTAAAATTAGTAAATACACATAAACTTCTGCTGATACTAAGACAAAAGCAAAGGAGTGAGTGGATGTAGAATTCAAACATTACAATGTGTGTATTTCTTCACCTACCACAATAAATAAATAAATAAAAATCCATTCGGTTTTGCAAACAGCCTTGCCTACTTTAAAGAAAATTTTATCAAAACTAATTAACATCTACAAGCCAAAAAAACACTCCAACTCCTATGATAACTTTTTTTCATGAGAAACTTCTACTTTGTGTGAGAGAAACATTAATATTTAATGATGGCACAAACACAGGGCAAGAATAGTTAAACAGTAATTCATTAGGATGAAAAGAAAGAAATGAAAGAAAGAACTGAATTCAAAAGGGAAACTAAACACAGTTCTGCAGTAGTGAAACAGATTTGTTAATAGAGCAAATTAGAAAGAGAAATAGGAAACTCCCCATCTCTGCATCTTTAATTCAGGCCTAGTTGCACTTCTGGGAGGACACACTTTAGGCAAACAAAGGATTAAACCTGTATTTAGGAGTAACACTTAGCAATTTAATGTCTTGTTAAATGGAGAAGATAGATAAAATGGTTCTGTTATGAATCCATAAAATATCTCTTCTGAAAAACTGAACTACAGCGGAAAGAAACTAGAACAATGAAACCAAAATCAGATTTTAAACTGGTATTTGTATAACAAATGTAATTATACCAGAGACTCCTTTCAACACAGATGAGTTGTCTCAGGTGTTTGTAGAGGAGCTTGACAACTGAGAAGACTGTAGTCTTCAGTGAGATTTAGACCAGGTTGGTGAATCTTAGAATCTTTTTACTAGATACATCAATGATCATCCAGCTGTCATCCAACTCAATGAGATCCCTTCTAGTTGGTTTTACTGCAGATTTGAGTTAAAATGGAATTAAAAAAAAACGAAAATAATTTCCAGTCCTTAGAGAATTAAAACAGAATAGATAATGCATTTAGTAAATTTTTAGACACTTCTGTTCTAGGAATGGGATGTAAAGATCAATTTATGGCGTATGCTGTTTTGTTCTTGTTGACTATAAAATTCATGATACATTAAAATGCACATTGTGAAAAGCAGTTTAAAGAATCAGTAAAGAAGATCCTAGAAAAATAGAAGTAATTATTTTCTTTATGAAACCAATTTGCAAATTACTATAAAAATATGAATATCTAGTGGTAAAATCTGACAGACTGCTTTATGCTTTTATAAAATGCTGTAATGATAATAAAGTTTCCAGCCACAGTAAAGCATTTTCACGAAACATTGGCTTTCAGCTTAAGACCAAGTTTTCAGAGGTTAAAATATCATCTTCAAGAGAGATTACAGAATTCTAACATTTCTCAGGAGAGAAGAAAAGAGAGCTAAGATCACATGATAAAACACATGCACACCAGGAAGAAGGATAATGAGAGAACTGAACTTGTACATCTCTGGAAGAAGGCTTAATGGAACCTAATAGCAGTCATCCAACACCTGCAGAGGTTTGCAAAACAACAGAACAAGTCTCTTTGTAACAGGTTCCACAGTGATTGGTATCACTGGAAAAAACAGGCTTTCAAACACACAGGCCTTTCTTCAGGTTTTATACAGATACAAAATACCTCAAAGCCTGAAAAATAATGACTACTGGGAGTTCAATTTCATAGCATTTACACACTTAGACTTGAGAAATCAAGTAACTACTAGAGACAACAAGAATGATACGAGAATAACTAGAAAGTTCTATCCTAAATTATTTCACAATATATTCTGTTTCAACATAAAATCCTTCCTTTGATTGCATTATCTTTTCATTTTGCTACTATCATCGTTCTTTCCACAGTACACTGAAGGTTTGCCCTTTGTTTTGTTTCTTTAGAATATGTAAGACACATACATGCATTAAATGTGTATGTAACTAGTGCTATAAACTTGAAATCCTAACAATCTGAAAACATTTTCAGACATGCAGATGAAAAGTCTATTTGTTTATTATTTAAGTCTAATTATATGTAATTCACTTTAATTCAAATAGAGATACTGGCGCATGTAAGATTTTCTTTTAGGAGTTGTTTGCACTGGCAAGATTTATCCATCCCCAAAGGAATGACCTATGTCAGCTCTGTTGTAAATATTCAATTCTCAAAAACCTGAATACTGAGTTTTCCACATAAAAAATTGGTGATGTGGTACAAATCAGATTTCACAGATGACATGCAAAAATTGAGCTTATTATGCAAAGAAGCATTTGTAAAGAAAAATGTTCAGACACATGGAAGCAGTTGATTGGATACATTAAAAAATAAAGGTTTCCTTTTATTCTTAACTATCTAGGAAATAAAAAGATACATCCTGGTAAAAATGGAACTACACCCTTATTTTCACAATGTTGCATATAAAATCACTGTCACGTTCAAGGCAGTGTAATGACAGCTTATATTTTAGAGCACCGCTGTTAAAAATTCTACCTTTTCAATAGCCAATCAAATCAATGTTTTGAAATGTATTTATTTACTTATTTATTTTGCTCTGAGCTTTATCTTGCATCAAATTTTAGAAATAGAGAACCTCAGATTAACTGACAAGCTAGTCGGAATCTGTTCTACTTTTGTTCCAAAGCAATATTCTACTATAAGAAGGGAAAACACAAACAAATAAAAGCCACCCAGAAAACAGAAACTAACAACATTAATAACAACAAAAAAATATCACCCAGAACTTCATTTAACTTGATTATAAAAATACATGTCAGCTAAATTCCTTAAAGGACGATAAAAGTAAAACTGGGGGATGAAAAGCCCGAAGTCTCATGCAAGCACTTTTACTTATGTAATTCTCTTCTTTAATAATTCCTACGTTTCTCCATGAACCAATTTTTTAAGATAAATATAAAGAGAAAAGCATTAATAGTAAAGCCCTTGTAATTCACCATAACAGCTTCCAAAGCTTCCAATTTACAGCTAGAAGATGTTAAAGCATGTCTTGCCAGCAGTGCTCATTGCATGGTATGTAATTTTACAGATCATGTAAAGGTACTTGATCTGAAATTATTGGATCAAACAATACTTGAAAATGGTATTTTGCATAATTATCTCAGATCAGGTCTTTTGGAAACACAATAGTTTAGATAACCACAATATTTGGAACTTGGACAGCTGCATATAAAGGTTTTATTGTTGAGGTCAAACAAGTCTTAAGAAACCATAAACAAATTCTCATTTGTCAAGGTTCTGTAATTTGACAACATTCATAACTCGTTTCACAGATTGCAAAAGGCAAATGAAAGTGACCGATCCACTTCATATCACCAGTATTAGAAATTTAACATGATCAAACAACTTACTTATGCTCAGCTGTCTTCTCAACTGCCTGAGCAGTCATTTTTGTGACACTTAAAAACAACTGTTAAGAATCACGAAACAACGGTTATAATTAGCATTACTGAAATCAGCTAAATAAAGATATTAAAACTGTAAGTATAAAATTTCCTTCCATGGAGGATTTCCTCAAAACATTTAAAATTTAATAAAGCTTTGGAGCTGAGCATACGGAACCAAATTCAGCATCTTACGAAAGGAAGTGTCAGACAGATTTGCAGTGCTACTAATCCTGCCTGCAGTATATTCTGTTGAGTACTCATCACTGTTGAATTATCTTTACTATGTGTATTTCCAGAAAATGTGTGCTATTGATAAAAATAACTGGTTTAAAAGAAAAAGTCAAAAGCACGTGAACTCAGGAATGAAGAAGAGAATATGTAGACAGACAAATAACAAGTAAAATGGGTTTATAAGTGCTGCTACCATCCCATGAAGGATAAAGAAAAAAAAAACAGTTTACATTTGTAAGACAGATTTCTATGGCAAAGTGAACTCCTAACTTCATAAGCAAATGCAGTCAACTGCTGCTTCACATTTCTGGAGAACCACAGTTAAAAGGGTGCAAGACAGACTGGGCAAACTGGAACTGATCTGGACCTGATTTAGACATGCTGAGTACTCTCTGCAGTAGAGGTCAAGTCCAGCAATGGCAAGATATCATGAGGGCAAAGTCTGACTCTTGATACATGTCCAGAACACATACACATTCTTTTTCTTTTTTCTTTGATTTCACCTTGAAACCACCTTGAAACAGAACTGTTTTTCCTTATTTAGGCATCTTTTCCTTCATACAAGGAACAAACGTATCATGAAGAAACCACCACATATTTAAAAAATATGCCAATTCACAAAAGGATTCAGAGATTCAATTTCATTTCTAAATGAGGTTCACACTCTGCCTTTTGGGTATTATTCACCTATTTTTTAATAATAATTTCACATTTAAGTGAGGGCTGCATGTTCTTTTTTTTTCTTACTTCCCATAGTACTTACGGGTCTTTCGAGCAGAATCTTCTACAAAAAGAGAAGAAATGTCTTCATCCACTCCTGCTTCATTCTTTGCAATGCAAGTATATGCTCCTGTATCTTCGTAGCGCACGTTACTAATGTGTACCTCACTGCCATTTGCTGAAAGGAAGGAAAATTCAATGTACAGGCATACTAAAGTGCTTTCAGATCAAACACTCAAAAAGGCCTTCTCCATTCATGCTAATTAAACTGTTTTCATTCCTGATTTCATAACTTGGAGACGCGCCAAATCTAATCAAAAGGTGTTCAACTGGGTAGTGAACTGCATGCACTATTATTCATCTTACGGATACATGCAATATCCCACTTGATTCTGCAGTTTGGATGTAAACATCTACCTGATATTTTATATAGATTTAAGTGACTATGGTCATATTTAAAATCAACTATGTTTCATTAGGTTGCGTTTTGTCTATTACCACCCTATTGCAAGCTTTACAAACAATAAGGCAGGTTTCTATGGAATATAATGGACTACATTTTCAAGATAAATAATACAGAATTGTTCCTAGCAACCAGAAGCCCCTATGATTGCTTTTTTGTCAATGAATTATGACAGAAAAAAATTGGTACTTTGGAATTTTATACCTATATCAGCATAGGAATCTATATGAAACTATACTCTAGAATAATTTCAGGAGTATTTTCAGACTAATCTTGGACAAAGTAAACACAAATGAGTTTTGCACATGCAAAATAAGCATTATCACACAAATGAGGAGTTGTGCACCAGCTTGAGTAGGAGTAGCAACAGAATCCAAATTTCTCAAGCAAAGGTTTTCTTAAATATTGTCATGTAAATAATGATGTGAACAATGACTCACTGCATTGTAAGTGTAGCATGCTTGTTCAGCTGTAAGATTTCAAAAACAACTCTCTAGAAATTCTATAACATAGACTAGAAGGGACACTAGGTCATGGTAAAATCCTCCCTCTGGATCTATGGATAATATACTATGTCTAATGCATACACAATTTAACTATGGGACAGGAAAAGCTCAGAGAAACTATGAAACTTTATCTCATATGAGTACATTCAGGAACACTGAATTAAATTGTGCTTTGCTGGTTTGTTTGTTGGTTGGTTTACAGAAGAAACATTCTAATTAATTAATCACAAATATGTAATATGGAGGCAAGGGAACAAAAACAATGTTTCCACTCAAATCTCTGAAGGGGAAATCAACAATGCTGCCATGAAAGATGAGACCACCAGGAAGTCTAGCACATTCTACTCACAGTAGAAAATCTTTCTGTTAAGGAAATTGTTCACACATATTCAGGACAGAGAGCTGTGAAAGCACAGAAGCCTCCATCACTTATAGAGAAGGTAAGACTCTACCGAAGCAGTTGCCATCTATCTGTTCCACTCTATCACTGCAGCCTCATTTCTGTTCTGTTTTTTGTTTGTTTTTGCAGAAGAATGAGATGATATTTTGAAGATAATACGGATATCATAAGGTTTATTCTTCAATGGATGATCAAAGTTCACCAGAAGGACTACAGACAAATGCCATTCTGGATAGTTTCACTGAAATCTACAAGCCCTAAAGATGATAAAAACTGGCTTTTACCACTGTTTAGAAGTTAGACTTCCCTTCAGTTGTGTAGGTTTCAATGTTCTTTGGTTGCTTTTGATTTATTCTAGTCTGCTTTTTTTAATTGTTATTGAGTACCTTTGCATGACCTTTGAGGTCTGCTGAGACCCCTCATATAAGAGCAAATCCATTTCATATATTTCTCCTGCTGTCCTTTTAGCCATCAGTTCCCTACTTCTCACTGAGATTCTTACAGTCAAAAAAACTCCTGTTTTCAACTGAGCTGCAGTAAAAGTCCAGTATCAATTTAAATCTGGGCTCATGAAAAACAATTAAATTACCATCAATGCATAGTAAAATAATAAAATATTCACAAAAACATTGCTTCCTAATTTAAATAGAAATTCTGAATACACGTTGAATGGTACAAATGTACTTGCTGTGACAAACTGCAATATTGTAACTAGAACTGGGTTTTGGGCTGTTTCTTGTACTCAGAAGCTACATATCTTTTAACTAAGAAAAGCTACTGGAATTTACTGGTGATTCTGTTACAGTGTAAACCTCTTATTTTGATTACAAGAAAGCAAAGTACATGCATGCCTTAGGAAGAAATTTCAAGACATTGCCTAAAATGTTTTAACTTAGACTTCAACCCTTGTTTAAAACTAGGCAATAAGAATACCAAGTAGAGAAACGATGCCCTCATAAAGCTTTTGCAACCTGTAGAAAACAATATATACGTCCATTTACCTTGAAGAGTTAGCTGTTTAGATAACTTTGGAGTGATATCAATTCCATTCTTCAGCCAGCCAAGTTGTGGGTTAGGAATACCTTCAGCGTGGCACCGAAGGCTAGCTGTCACTCCTGGCTCCCTTGCCTGACTCTCTGGGTACACTCGGATGACTGGTGGAACTGAAGTTAGAAAACAAATATAATTTAGGGAAAAAAATAAAGTTTTATTTTCATTTTAAAAAATCATTACAAGCAATTCTAAAGACTCCTGCAGCTATATACAATGACAGTGCAAAACACAGATGTGACATTAGTCACATATTCACTCACATTCAACACTGAACTCTGTCAAATAAATTCATCAAGTAGAAAATGTTCTGTGAGAAAAATTCCTTTTCACCGTGTCAGAGAAAAGCTTGAATTCAGTATTTGGGAGTTGACTAATAAGATTTTTTTCCCTTAAATTTCTTTAGAAAATATGAATAATTTAGAGCTAGGAAGCAGCCATCTGTGTACAGAGAGGGTCATCGTCTTATTCCACAAACCTTTTATTTAACACTTTCAATCCTACCTTTATACTCTCTTTAAAACACCTAACAGTAACCTATCCTTCTTGTAAAACACAGATAACTATGGTTATGATACCTATCATTACCTTTAGTTTATACTTAATTACAACATTCTGAATTCATGTGAAAATTCCAAGTCTCATCTAGTAGGTATTAACATTGTAAACTTTTATGCCTTCAAAAAAACTTCTGGCTCACTTAATAAAATGTACGGCACTGCATTCTACATATGCTACACAACTGCAGGAACTTCTAGATCTGATCCTATTCTTCCTTTTTACTTTATTTAACACAACGTTTCTAGAATGAAATTTGAATTTTACACACATAGAAAAAAGTAAATATACTGTCATACAGAATACTTGGTATTGCATTCTTTTTTAGGCAGATCAGCAAAACAATAAATTATTAACCATGTATAGAACAGTACATGATGCCAGTTGAGGGATAAATTAAATTAATATTGTACATGCTTTATACGGTAGCTAGATAACTGTGAATTTTACCATAGAGCATCTCACATATCTGAATCTGAGGCTTAATCAGATCAGCTAATCTTACTTAAGTGCTGATACTAAAGCATTTGGCTTGAATGGTTTATTTTTTAACTCTAAGAGAAGTAGAGCTCGGACTAGCTCTTCCCAGCTTGATCATCAGCAAAATGTAAGAACTTGTGACAGCACTTTTAGAAGAATTGGAACCTTGCTGCAGCGCATGCTTACCAACAACAACAACAAAAAATCTGCTACAGAGTGCATCAGTACTGGCTTATGACCTGGAAGAGGACATACTCGTATTGGCAAACACTGATTAATCAAGATTTAGCAGTATTGCTGTGTTGAATTTTTATATGAGTAATTGGTGATATTCTCCTTAATTACACATAGAGAAAACTATCTTGAAGTTCTTTCTAAACAAACAAAACCAAACAAACAAAAGAGCAACTACTTTTAATGAACGTTACAGTAGTATGTTTATCATCCAAAGATTTGTTTAATGTGGCTTTAAAAATGTGGAATACTTGGCTGGTGTCAAAAAAAACAGCTGGATAGAGGATGAAATATCAGTTGATAATGAAAGAAGATAACAAGATCAAAAATTAACTGTGTCTGTTTTGGCAAGAGATTAAATATTTTCAAATGCTATCCAACTGTTTACAAGAAATATCCCAGCATGCTGTCCTATTACAGCATAGAAATGCCTCAGATTTCTAGACTGCAAGAAATACACATACGTACGGCATCTCAATTAAGACATAAGAATCAGAAGGTTTCAGGGATATCTTAAACCCAATTATAGATGAGAGTCTTTTCAAACAATATATATGGAAAATTACACATAACTCCAGAAGAGCAAGTACAAAAATATATTAAGAAAATTAAAAAATTGAAAGTTGTGGCTGCTAATTGCTTAGACTACCAGCTATGAGCAGCATGTCTAAAACAATGATTTAAGATTTCCACTGAGTTTCTGGAAGGGAGTGTACACAGATGTCTCTATTTCTATGCTCATATCAAGCCTAAATTTGTCATCCGTGTTCCCCCTCTAAATGTTCCCTGTTACCACTCTCCTGTGGGATCTGTGTGAGACACTGTCCTTCCCACTGTGTTCTTAATTTCAAAATCATCTCAACTGTATGATTGCCTGGCTTTTTCAGTACCTTATCTCCCAGACTAATTCTGCCTCTCTTCAAAGGGTCCAATCTTAATCTCTGCCCTCTTCAGCATTTCTTGACAGGAGGTTCTTTAATGACCTATGTCCATGTTGCAGATTTCCAGGGCATCAAACCCAAGCGGTTTATTTCTCCATTTTACCCGAAGAAGAGCAAGGAGCTCCATTGCCTTAGAGAGGGTATTGCCATCACTGAAGACTTACAAGCAACATCACAGTTCAAACCACTGACTGCAAGGCACTGCATACCAAATATCTATTAGAAGATACTGTTTGTTTTGTGTCAGTGGAATATTACTATTGCATATGAAAACTTGTGGGAACTTCACCACCATGTTCCAACAAACTTCTACTTGAGTGAATGAGAAAAGAAGCCTTCTATCTGTCTAATTTTGGATTTTTTTTTTTTCCCCAAGGAATCAGGGAACAAGGAACAGGTGCGACCTGGTGTAGGGAACCTGCTTTGGAAGGCGGGTTGGATTCAATGATCTCCGGAGGTCCCTTCCAACCCCTACAATTCTGTGATTCTGTGGAAATAAATTATTAATTTAGCTTGGGCAAAAGGGTGATCGTCCCCCCTCGATTCCACTCTCGGAACACCCTGAAATTAAGCTTTTAGCATTTGAGATTGGCATTTGTTTGTCAAAAGAATCAGCCTGACATAAATCCAGCAGTTGGCTCCTCCTTGTTTTCTTCCCAAATCAGATTTTCTATGTTGAATACACCACTTCAATATAGGTTTAATAATTCTGTGCTTTTGGAAAAAAATGTCATTTTACAAGATCTAGCATATCACTGGGAATGCATAACACCTGGACACATAAACCTGAACTTCTAGGCTCACAAAACCTCTTGAAAGAAGCTAACAGTCATATATTGCCCATGAAATGTATATTCCTGTCAGTGAAGCATGAGTTAAACAACCTTCTTAGTATCAGGTAAATCAGACTGCAGAGGACTGAAGTGTAGAACTAGCTTACGTTGTCAGATGGATTCATGATTAGCAGAATCATGAATAACAGAAATTTGGATGAATCCTGAATTAAGTTCAACAGGACACATCACATTGTTGCCTCCAACTATGATGAATGTATAACTATTCAGTTATTCTTTCAATTGTTATAAAAACTACTGAAGACTATTTCAGCCAGGAATAATAGGAAAAAAAATAGGAAAGAAATAGACTGTTCAAGTTGTCTGGAATCCAGAGAGAATGCATTTGTTTAAGAAAGTAACATAATGTACTTTGTTCACCATATTCTTCCATTGCTCAGTATGACAACTCTTCTCTTTGATTGAACTGATATTTTGCTTTGAAAAACAAAGATGATAAACTATTCCTCAGACACTATAAAACACTGACTTATATCTGGCTGAGGATCTAGACTCTTTCATTACCTTAAGGTACTAAAACTTCTCTTTCCAGTACGCCTCTGTCTTAGCACTACATTGAGGAAAAAATCTTGTCACCTTTCTGCAAATAACTTGCCTTGAGTAAGTTCAGGGAGTAGGATACCATCATTAGTAATACACCGAAAGATAAACATTACTGTATAACTATGTCTAAGCATGTTTCTAGAGTAGCTCTGAATCTCAAGACAGACTTCCTTTTTGTTTGTAATGTCTAATGACCTTTTATTTCTTTCTCTTTTGCTATAAGCAAAATATTACAATTTATTAGTTAACTTCCGATTTTCCATTTAACTGATGTATACTCTTTATTTTGCCTTAAATAGCTGAATATTAACATGTAAAGCAAACATACATATTAATATGTTAAAGGGCATTTTAGAAACAGGTGGCTCTCTACTTATTAAAATAACCTTCATTACAAGAAAATCTGAGTTATTTACAAGGGTTCACAACTTTGTTAGGAAAAAAAACTCTACCAGCATTCCCTAAAAACTTTTTGAAATATGCTGTGGAAAAAAAAGAGTCTAACAGTCACAAAGGAAATTATACAAACATTTGTGAAACACAGATGACTCACCTCTGTATTTATGTTCTATTTGCAGAAGATTGTTTTTAGAGAAAAGAGAGATCTTAATGATAAATTGTGGAGTTGATATTACAGATATTTTTGGGGAGATGTAATTAGATAGCTCCTCTTTGTCTTCAGTGATATTAAGACCAAAACATATACATCATTATCTAAAACCAGACTTCCAAATTCATGGGTTTTATGATACATGATGTCAACAACACTGAAGGAAAAGTACTTGATGGCATGAATTTCATTATCACAAATATACAGAAGAGGAAAAAAAATCAAAATGACAGGCTCAGACTCTCATTATTGTAACCATTTGATAAAAGAAAGACTGCGGGGAAAAAAACCTGGCTTTTGGTGGAGCTGAAGACTCAGCAATTTCGTGAATGAATAAGACCAAATCATTTTAGTTTTTAGAAAGGGCATTTTGAAAACCTTTTCTGTTGAATGACTTTTTCAGTGTTCAATCAAGCAAAACCTGGCTGCTTCTCTTAAATATGTCAGCAGTGTCAGTCACTTAGATCATATAAATGAATCCCTATATTAGTGATACACCTATGGAATTTATATTCTGCATAGGGAATTATTCAGAAGTGCATCACGAATTTAAAGCAGAGATTTCAATACTGCAAATGTGTTTTTGACATAGGAATGTCCATTATGAGTTGACTTCACTATTTTAATACTTAACGCATAGTAGGAAAAATAGTTTTTGTAGGTAGGTGCTATAATTCAAACTAATCTTATCAACACCTCCTCTATCTCCCCTGAACACAAGAAAAAAATCACATAGAAGTCTTAATAAAACGGATCAATAATACAGTCACAAAACCCACATTGTGAAAGTTTTAAGTATAATCTAAATGCTATTAATTACTATTTTTAATGAAAAAATACTCGAACTATTATATCTTTGCTGATATTTTTTTTACATACAATATATAGAAAAAAGTCTACTTATAATATTGCTTAACATGTTTACTTAATGTGTTATTTAAAAAATATTACACAGAACTTTCACTCCAAAAAAACGTTTTCTACAGCACTGATTATCTGTATCTTTTTTAAATACTTCAGTCAAAGTTCATTATTCATACATGTACAAGGTTTGCGTTACTCAATGCAAATAATATAAATATTATTTCTTTAAAAATACTGATTTCACAGATTCACAGAGATTCTTTGATACTAATGGAATCAAAAATTTCAAATCTAATTACATTGTTTTCTGTGAACACTCACATTAGATCTTTGAGATCAGAGCCTCATTAGTCATTGACTTTGGTCTAAGTCTCCTGTTAATACTTCTATTATTAGTCATTATCACAGCTACAAGTACTGACCACCATGCCTGTTCTTAGGAAGATTACTTCTTAGAAATACAGATCTAAAGTATGAAACAGCTGTTCATTTGACCAAAGCTTTAAATCTTCATGGTTTTAACCCAATTTATCTATAATGTTAACAGCAGATGATACAGCTGAGCTATGGGGTTCCTTTCCTTTCTCCCTTACTCTTCTATAAATCAGATTTTGGAACATGAAGTGTTATCTTTCTCCAAAAGAAAAATAACATTTTATAACAGATATTTTGTCACCAGAAATACCTACAGCTGTCCTCCTTTACCTGTCCCATACTACGATCCTTAACGTCCTATTTTTACAGAAAAACTTATCTGAGTTTCGCCTCACTGAGGACTGAGTTGAGCCAAGAAGTAAAACATATAGAACACAAGTGTTATAAATTTTGCAGGATTACTAACATATTGGCATAGGTATGGAAGGAGCTAACAGAAGCACAATTTTTTTAATAAATTAGGGTAGAGCAGATCACACAAAAGAGGAGAAAGCTGTCCAAGGACCTTCCAGTATGTTCAGTTCATTAAAAATCCTGTTATATTTGCAGGAATTTAAATGAGTAAACTGTAGTTCAGTCTTTCTATTAGTCAAGCCAGCATTTACTATCTCTCTTTTTAGATGACAGAAAATTCCTCCAGATAATATGAAAGGAGAAAAAAATGCTGATGCCATGTATTAGCTGAGTGAAAACAGTCTATTTACAAAGTGTTTAAAGTAATTCATAAAGTTGAAAACTGGGAAAAGAAAAAAAAAAAAAAAAAAAAAAAAGAGATGGGTCGATAGATATTCCAAATTGATTTCCTGGAAAAATACAATTACAAAATTGACATTTAGGAAATAGCAAGCAAGCACTGAATACCCAAGTCATTCAAAGCATGAAGGATGTTAACAAGTAGAAAGTGGGAAAAAACAAGAAGCTGTTAAGAGTGAACAATATAAAAATGCTAGTAAAATAATCTAAGCAACTGCATTTGGTGTGATTGTCAATAAAACATACACAAGGAAAGATTCCACTATTCTCTGACAAAAGATGTCAGGAGAAGTGAAGTATGATATGGGTTAATGCAACTGTCTAATAATACCAAAACCAAGAATGATAGTAGTGCCTACATTTAAGAAGGAGTAAAAGAGCAAAGTAAACATGAAGGAAAAAAATTGAGCTTCAACATGATTCTGGACAGGATTTAGTATGAACATGAAACAACAAATGCTTTTGGTTTAATGTGGGGAGAAAGGTTTAAGAGCCAGAAAGAAAAATAAGAAGGATAAAGCAATAGAAAAACAGAAGGTCATCCAAAACAAACGAAAAAAAAGATTTAAATTTCACTGGAGATGAAGTACAGCGGGACTAGTGGTACGCCAATGGAGATGAACAATTGTTTAAAATAGTTTAGAAGAAAAAAGAAAAAAAGTCGTAGGAAAAAAGAGCTAGGAGCACCATAAACAATTGTAGTTACATTCTGTCTAAGAAAGATCACCAGTTGTCTCCTTCCTTTGAGATGCTCAAAGAATTTCTTCACATTAGCATGAGCAACCTCACTAAAGGTGGCCGTTTGAGCAGCGAGGTTGGATCAGATCCATAGGTTGCTTCCAACTTAAGCTATTCTCTGATTTTGTGATACTGAGGCCAGGAAAACGGTCTTTAGAACTTGAACGGATCAACATTTTACATTCAGATGCCCCAAATTAAAAATCATGTTTAGATATCAAAATAGTAAAAGCAAAATATAAGTCAAATTTGCAATCAAATTTTAACTAAGCCATTTTAAAAATTATCTTCCTAGATACAACAGTATATAAATATGGGGGCTAGAAGAAATGCCTTCCATTTATTACAATAGCTCACAATGCAAGAGGCAGATGTTGGTGGTACGGCAGTACGGTTTGAACCTTCCCACCAACATTCTGTTACATGTTGTTGCCATACAACAGTTGGCAGCGGAGTGGCAGCCTGACAAAATGGAAATGTGTCCATGTATTTCCATCGGAACAAAAAAGGAGACATTACTATCAGTCTGACCTACATGTATTTTTCTCCTGTTAACTTGCTCAGGTGCTCACTGTGAAGAGGAAGTCTACTGCATCAACTTACACTTTTTAATAAATTTTATTCTTACAGAAGTACTAAACGAACGTGATTTGCAAGGTAATTTATAGAACGATAAAAACAGGACTTTTTTTCTGCCTAAGGTGTATTAAAAAGACTTTGAAAATAGGCAAGAACAGATCTGCTTAACAAAATATCAAAATTCTAATCTCTTACGACTTAGTAAATAGTGCATTTTCCTTACCATTCACTAGAAGAACATGGGTTTGATAGAGTTTATCATAGCCATCAGCATAACAGGTGTAATTTCCCATATGAGTTGTAGTAACCTTAGTAATGTACAAGGACCCATCATCTCCAAAATCCTACAAGGAAAGATTAAAAAGAAGGTTATCATAATTACATCTGTATTTCTGCATTAATTATGCTCTTCATTTTTGCAACAAAGCTGTAATGCTAATATCAAATGCTCAGCCAGAATAACTGACAGTAACTGAAATCCTGATTATGTTTGGAAATGGCAGAGGCTTGTATTAGGTCAGTAAAAGAAAATACTACTTCAGTTTCAAATTCAGAAGTACTAAGAGAATATATTTGTTTATTTAGGTATGATAGTTATTTGCAAAAGAGAAGCTATTTTTGGTTTGAATCTAAGTAGATAAAAAAACCTAAACTTCCACACAAATTAACAAGGTAAATTATATCCTTTGGAAGGAAGTGTAATTAAGCCAGTTTAAAAATAATGTTATCTTAAAAGACAACCCTAAAAGAAGAGTCTAGTAAAATCTAGCATCTATAATGTTAATGTTAAGTATCATTTACTTAATACAAATGAGTTTCCACGTCAATTACTGTAAAAAAATATATGAAATAATTAGTACTCTCTGTTAATTTTTACTTAGGCTAATAACAGTTTGTTTGACTAAAAATACCTTTACAAAAGTGAACTTCTTCACAGTATTCTTTGAAAAGTCTAAGCTACGACATGCTTGTAAAATAGTAATGAGCTATAAGAAAAACTCATCTACATTTTGCAAGTGCAGGCTTAAGCAATAAAGGGTTGATTATCATAGCTCTTTTCTAATTAAATGGATATCTATGTTATGATCTCCCTTCATTTTTCAAATACACCACTGATAAAACATCTCTCTGGATATTTTATTCAAATATATCAGTTTTCAACAGGATTTGCCCTATGACGTTGTGATTTCTTTACTCAAAGCAATTTGGCTTTAGAGAGGGATTTTGCTTTTGTTTTAGAACTACAAACTAGATGTGTCTGGCTTACTATTACTATACTGAGTTCAGTATTTGTTTTGTTAATTAAAGCAAACAATTCAACACAGTGAAAACAAAATACTGTAATCAGTGTTTGGAACGCAATGATGAAGCATAGACAGAGTTCTCTGAGATTAAACTGTGACACATGCTTAAGTGCTTAATAGAATAACTCACAAGCTAGAGTCACCCACAGAACCTGTGTCCATAATGGCACACCGATGAACACCACTAAATCCAAGGTTTCAAACATTAACATAACTATATATATGAAAAAAAAAAAGAGATGATTTTACCTTGGGAAAAAATATTTGATGACCTTAAGAAGAGGGCTAGAAATTAAGTTTTATGATAAATAAAAAAGCATAAATGTTCAAATATACGTGACATAATTCTTCTAAAATCAAATAAACTAATTAATTTTTCAACCAGAAATTAAAAAAAGCATAAATGTTCAAATATACGTGACATAATTCTTCTAAAATCAAACAAACTAATTAATTTTTCAACCAGAAATTAAAAAGATAGAATTGAATAATTATTTTAACCATGATTCCACTACAGCTCTGCTCTGTTGAGGAGCTCAACATTTAAGAATCACAATGTGTGTCACGAATAACAAGTAAAACAGCACGGAAAGCAAGCATTCATTTGGCAACTAATCTTTACTTAGTCACCTTAGTGTGTAGTACAACACAAACCTAGAAGGAAAGGAGGAGGAAAATAAATACTATGAAGAAAATTGAGAATGACTGTATAAGGACTAATCCAAGATAATTTAAGCTTTCCCTTCTAGCTCAAGAGAGAAAACAAAACCCGAATTTCTTACGAAAAAAAACATTGCATACTTTCACTGTTGTATACTGGAGATGTAATAAGGACAAACCAGAAATCTGGTCAGAATCACCTCATTGAAGAGCCAGCCCAACAGAAAACAATAAATCAAGTCAAAACGTAGAGAAAAAAACGCAGTATAACATATTACATAACTGTAATAATATAATATATAACATTAATTGTAATATAAATTGTAATATACAGAAAGCTGCAGTATCATTCTGTCAATAAGGAAACAAGGAAATCATGCCGTAATTCAGAACATCAAACTAAATCTCTAACTCAGATTTTGGGGAAATCTTTGTGCATGTCCTAAGCTTGCCTTACAAATACTCTTTATAACCTACCTAAAAGTGGACTTTGTGATACACAGACACTGGCTATTAGTTGAATTCAACAGGATTTGTTTGCATTCAGCAAACCTTAGAAAAAGATTCATGTTTCTCTTATTTTAAATCAAAATAACTCTGTATTAAGTAACCTAAACAGCGGTGTATGGTTTTTCTGTTATTCTTATGAATACAGTAAGGACTGCTCTTTAATTACATCAGGAAACGGTAACATCTAGCATCAAATAACAGCATCCATTATCCTATGGAAAACCTGCAGCAGCTTTGCACTATATTGGTTTTGCTGTTTTGAAATCTGATGAGGTTAAATGTTCCCTCAGAACACAAAGACAAACCACAATAAAAAGTGCCATAAAACTCCACATTCCCACGAAGTCACTTATATGAATCACCACATTATCTTATACATAACTGCCCAGATAGAATTTGTTTGTCATGTACTAAGTATATGAATGTTGCTTATACATCTGAAAGTAATGCCTCCCATTTTATTATATTGGAGCACAATGTCAGAGGCAGATGTTGGTGGCATGGCAGTAGGAGTTGAACCTTCCCACCAATATTCCTTTACATTTTGTTGTCAGGTGGGGCAGAGGGGCAGTCTGAAAAAATGGTGTTTGACATGGGAGCGTGTCTAAAACAAAGGAATAGAATTGAATCCCTTCATGCAGGAAAAATGCCACCGGCCGATATTCATCAACACTTGTTCAACATTTATGGAGACCAAACAGTGGATATTACTGCACTTCAACAGTGACAACGGCAATGTGAAAGACAAATCATGTTTCTGATAGCCACATACAGCTGTCACACTATGAAATTAAGAGCAGCTCAACTAGCTTATCCATGTAATTCAGTGGATTACGACCAGGGAACTGCGTATTGAGTTAAATATTTGCTTCAGTGTGTTGGAGGCAACATTGTTGGTGGCAACGTTGGAATATGGCATCAGGTGGGTACCATGAACGCTCAAAGAAACAGTAGGAACATAATAGGCAAGTTTGTCAGGACCTGCTGTACCAATACAAGGCTGAAGGTGACGTTTTCCTGGATCTCATCATTATTGGTGACAAGACATGGTGTCACCACTACTAGCTGGACTCAAAATAGCAGTCCATGGAGTAAGAACATGTGAATTCCCCATCGAAGAAAAGATGAAGTGACGTGCACTGTCTTTTGGGATAGGAAAGAGGTGATCCTCCAGGATCTCCTGGAACCTGGATAAAACATCCACATTGTTATGACACTGACTAAGCTGAAGGCTCAAACTTCCAGAACCAGGTCAGAGAAGAAGACAATCTTTCTTTTGCAACAAGACAATGTCAGGCTTTATTTCCAATATTGGCTGAGCTTTCTTGCCACATCTACCACACAGTCCAGATTTAAAGCCTTCTGACTTCCACCTGTTTGGGCCAATTAAAGGTGGACTGCGTGGGCAACATTTTCTCAGAAACAATGCCATAATAGCAGCTGTGAAAAAGCGAGTCTGCTCTGCTAGTGCATATTTTCTGAAGAAAGGCATGAAAGCTCTTGCTCATTGCTGGCAAAACTGCCAACATAGCTAACAGTGATAACTATGTTGCAAAAAAATGCTTTGCTGCTGAAGAATAGCATTATTGTGCTCAATATCTATTAAATAACCAATAGCATCAATGCCCTCTTTGTATCAATTGTCATTTCCATGGAAATAAATAGGAGGCTGTCACGGTTTTATGATTTTTGGTTATTGGTATTCTACATCATAACATCATGTAAAGCACTGGGAGTTAAAGAGTTAATGCTCTACCTCTGTGGACCACCAATTTTCTGAATATCTGGCTTTCAATAGAGAACAACTACATACCCCAGAGGACTTCACAGAGAGAAAAATAAAGCTCCTGGCAAGTTATGGGACTCTCTCTCTCTCCAACTCTCTCTGCCTGGCAGGGTGTGTGCGTGTTCCCCAGCTATTCCACCTTCAATTCCAAGTATGGCCTTCAGTTTCAGACGCTCTCTCATTTAATTTGATTTATTAGCCTCAGTTCCAATTATATTGCGTTATCTTATATTCCGATATCATAGACAGTAAATTAAATTTCCTCCTCAGATCGTTGCTGCTTTTCTGTTTTTAGGCCCGTATCCCATCTCCCTACCCATCCTTTTTCTCCTCCCTGGGGCGTGGGTCCTCCCTTGCCCCACTAGTCATAGAACCTGGCTGAACCAGCCCATAAACCATCGATGCCCCCCCCTCTCCTCCCTTCCCCACAGGTCCTGTGGGCCTGCTGTCCTCCAGTCATGGACTCATTACTTTTGGAGCAGTCCTCACATGTATGAAAACAGTACATATATGCTTAGAAAGGTTTTAAATGGAGTTCCTATACAAAATATTTTTAATACTACAAACCTAAAGCAAAGGGAGTGATGTATGTCCATTGGTGTACTTTGCTCACAAACAGAAATAAAAATACTGAAAGCTTGCATGCTAGCATAGCAGCTTCATGTAAAAGGAGGCTAGACCAGCTTGCCAAACACATCACTAAGAAAAAACTTCTGACATAGAGCCTTTAGGCAAACACTGAATACAAATCAATCTGAACTAAGCACTTAGTATGAGCTGGAGTATTTGGCAAAGGCTGTATTACACAAAAAGTTGAAACCTGCTGCAGTTTTTACAGCAATCTTGGTTATTTTTAAAAATCATCACTCATCTTGCTCAAACCATTAATACAATGTTCCATGTTCATCAGACTAATCTTTTATCACAAGAAAGCTTCACTGGGTAAGGTGTCAGTGAAACAAAGGGCTATTCAGCATACACTGACTGAAAACAGTTATATAGGAACAATTACTTTTTTACCTCTCCACGGTGATCGACCATGATAACGACTTTTAGCACTAGTCTTTGTCCACCCAGGCATTGA